CTGGTCGGCGGTCCTTACTGTTGAATGCATCACACCTATTCTTGAAATAGGCTCTAAATTCAGGTGAGAGATAGTCAAGGTGTCACTTTGGCTCTTGTGAATTTTAGTTTTAATTTTTATAAAAGTATTGGGTGTCTACATGTTTATTTGCATATGTGTCTATATGTGTAATTAGACCATAAGGGAATCTGAACATTATTCCTTAAGCTCAGACACACGAACTTAAAATCATCTTAGAAAATATTATCTCCATATTCCTCTTCCAAAGTCTCTCAATATATTTAATCGTATCTGTTTGCTTTATCTTTCCAAAGCTAATAAAAGGTCTAGGTAAACTCACATTCGCTTAAAGTTCCACTTAGTTGAAAGCTTTTAACTCAGGTTGTACATTTTTAAAAATTAGTATGTTTCAGTCATTTCAAAAAAGAACAGTATAAATAATAGCATAAACAGAAAAGGATTTTCTTGTGCCCCAACTCCCTCCTCCTCCTCATGAGTGTCAAGGTCGTCACCAGTGCAATTGCTTTTCAGAATTTCCCTTTTGTAAATGATGAGAGAAGCAATTACAAGCAGCTCTCCTCGACATGACACTGCCCAACGACGGGCAAATTGCATCTCTTGATGGATGCCAGCTATTATATACAATGGGTGGGAAACCTCCGTACAGGGAGAGGGAAAGGAACAGAGCGACTGAGCAAAAACATGCCAATAAATAGCAGTAATTATGGAAAGAGAGCCTTGGGCTTTGCCGATCAGCCAGCACTGGAAAATAACTGACTCTAGGAGGGGCTACAAGATGTCTATGGGGAAACTCCATGATCTTTTCGTTCTCTTTCTCTAGGAACTTTTTGCAGCCCCTCATATAGACTTTCACCACTTCACCTACAAACTGTTTCTTTTTGAAGCATATGATCTCAAAACAGGCTATGACTTTCTGCTGGAGAAACTTGGGTGGTGGAAGCTGTAAGATGCCAGCAGTCCATATTGGCTTGTGTTGTGCAGAGGACTTACAAATCTGAAGTCCCATCACTTCAACGAGATGTCACGAGAATGAGTCACTCGCATGGCTAGGGAGGCTGGGGGAGCACACGGGAATCGCCCCGGGATGCTGTCACGAAGGACAGTTCGACCCTTGGATTCTGGTTCTTTGTTGAGTGAGAGGGAGTAGAATGGAGGGAGCAGGACTGAATTCCAAAGACAAAAGGCGCTGTCATCAGCAGGCTGCCTGTCCCTTCAGGTTAAGGGACCAGGCCCAAGGATTGTGTAGGATAGGGGACCAGTCTGAAATGTGCTCTGCTAGATTCTGCCTAAGATACAGTTAGGGAACAAATGCTAGGCTAATGAAATATATGCAAGGCAATGTTTCTCCCTCTTGACTTTTTGTGACTGGCATCTCAAGGAAGGTCAATGTGCAACATAAATGTCTCTTCCCAACATGACATTTCACTAGCAAAAGGTAAGCACTAGTTTTTACACTCATCTAAAATTTCAATTTCAATTATGTAGCCGCTACTAACTCTAAGCAAGATTCTCAGCACGCGAAAGCCTCTTTGTCTATCCATTCGAGGCGCAAACTCGGTTTCTCTCCCAAGTTGAGGCTTGCTGTCGCTCACCGCTGTTCTATCCCACTCTTCCTATTTGCTGCTTAGCAAATGTTGAAGGAATCAATGACTAGACATTTCTACGCTATAAGAAATCAGGAGAGGAAGATTCATTTTAAAGGGGCACTGTGTGAAATTAATTTTCTTAAACATGTACATTTCAGTGCTGTCCCCCTTAGCATTGTGGGTCAGTGAGGGGGCTCTGTGTCTCATGGTGGGGTCAGCCCCACGGTCCTCTGTGCATTTGCTGCTCCTTGCAGGAAGGTCATCCTCAAGGCTTGGTGGGTCAGGAAGTGTGCCCTGTCTCTCTCTTTCCCTCTAGTTTCCTAGCGTGTGGTCTGGGCAGGCCCCCAGGCTGCATCTTCAGTGCTGTCCTCTGTAGTGCAGTCTTCTGGGAAGGGGGTCGACATCGCTGGGACTGGAGCCAGCCCCGAAGACCTTTCTGTTAGTTTGCTGCTTCGTCCTGGTAAGTTGCCCTCGCCCTCAAGGCTTGGAGCCCCAGGTTGAGGTCTGGTCCCTTTCTCGCTTTCCTGTGGAGACATGAACAATACCCTCCCCGTGTGGGTTAGTGCCCTGTTCCCCCACTATCCAAGTCCTCCTTCTGCCCCACCTTTGCCCCTCCTTTTTAGTTGGCTGTCCTATGCATCCCAACCCCCACCAGATGCCTGTACCTCCCCCTGTGAATTGATGCATTTGGTGGCTTTTCCCCCATGCCCCTGGTGCTTTTTAAGCTTACCTCATTGGACTCATGTTGTACTTGTCCTTTTGTGCTTGGCTTACTTCGCTCAGTATGATTTCCTCCAACTTTTCCATGCAACGATGTGCTTCATACATTCATCACTGCTATTTTAGGGATTCGTCGCTTGATGGAAATTTAAGCTGTTTCCAATTCTTTGCAATTGTGAACTGTGCCACGATGAACACTGGGGCACAGGTGTGTGGTCATGGTCTGTTTCTTACTTCTTCGGGGTATATGCCCAGTAGGGGGATTGTTGGGTCATATGGTAGCTGGATTTCCATTTTTTAGGTATTGTCATATCGATTTCCATAATGGCTGCACATATCTATAGAACCACCAGCCGTGGATGAGAGTTCCTGTCTCATCACAGCCATTGGGTTATTTTTGAAGGTGTTAGGTGGTATCTCATAGTTGTTTTAATTTGCATTTCCCTTATGGCTAGTGATCAGGAACATTTTCTCATATGTTTGTTGGCCATTTGGCTTTCCAGCCTTATGAAACTTCTGTTCAGGTGTTTTGCCCACCTCCTCAATAGGTTTTTTTTTTTCTTTCTTATTGTAGGCTAACAGAGTATTGTAAATTTTAGTAAAAGGCCTTTGTCTGATGTGCCATTGCCAAAGATGTTTTCCCTGTCCGTGGGCTTTCTTATTACTCTCTCTCGG